AGCTCACACTAATACACTGTGACTCATTCATGTATGCATCTCCTGTCAAGTTAAATCTTTATGATAAATATACATCACATATATGAACTGAAGGAACATCTCCAATGCTAATTCTGCTTGGTCTGTATCCAGAAAAACACCATTATGTTGCAAATAAATGAAGACAAATCAGCACATTTTACTGGGAAAAATAAAGAAATTAATAAAACAAATCATAGATCAACTTGTTTTGCACTGGAAAAGACAAATAGTTAAATTATCCACTAGAAAGAAAAACTGCAAACACCTAAAGACCTAAAAAAAGTTAAAACCCAAAACATTTTTGATCACTTTGATCATTTGTTTTGTCTGAGAACAGCATGATTTTATTAAAATAGTGCTGGCAGTTAAACTATTACCTTCCCAGCTGCTGATTGGTGCAAAGAGCTCCAAGAAATTCTTCAGACGGACACTCGACCATAATAAAGACTGGTCCTGGATCAGTAGGAGTACAGACCTGCTCGGGTCGGATCTGAAAACCAGCAGCGACAGAAATGTGAGCGAGTCCAGCTTAGAGCTGCAGCCTGAATGAAAAGAAAACAGAGTCTTCACCTCTTTTCCTTCATGCACGATACTTTTCCCGGCTTTCAGAGCTGCAATGATGGGACCAATAGCAGCTGTGCCCCTTAAAGGAGGAAAGATCAGGAAACAGTTCAAATCAGACTGAAAATGAAGCAAAACTAAAACTAATATTTTGCATCTTTTTTTTTACTGCAAAGCTTTTTATAGACAAGAATTGTTTCATGTAAAGTATCATTTGTGCACACCAGTATAAGACAACTGGACCTTGTGTTAACTTGGAAAGAACATAACAGTGATTCCACTTACACGGGCAGCCCAAGCTCTTTGGCTTGAGCAACTAAGAAGTTGCCCTTCTTTGGGTGAAGCTGGAAAAGTGTCAGACAGGTAAAGAGCAAACTGTCAGATACAATAAGCTTCGATTTGCACGTCACAGGATGGACGTATTTTCACAGCGTCCTACCTTGCAGGCAAAGGCGACCACCAGAGAGGAATCTCTCGCTGCTGTTCGCCTTTCACCTAAAATGTGAAGCGATTGTTGCACTCAGTTTGTTCATTTTATTACCAGTCGGCCTATTACACTTTTACTCACACCTCAGTCCTGACAGAAGACGGCATGAAGCCTAAAGCTAAGATCCCACATTGTAGCTACGCTTAAATTATTTCCAAATCTGTTGACGCCGATTTATTTTAAATGATTATTAATCATTTTTAAATTTAATTTTGTTTTGTGCTGGCTTTCTGTATTATTTGGATGCTACAACCTCAGGTGGTCAAATGAATCTCATCTGTATAATACTGCATGTCTAGTCTAGCCTGCTCTGACTCACCTGGATCGTCCGCACTGCTGACGTCGGCTTTCTGTGGAGTCGCCTGAGTGGGGCTGTTCCTGCCCGACCTGTGGGAGCGATTTCTGTCGTTGTCCCTCGACTTTGCTGCAGAGACGATGGCATAAAAAAA